TTGGAATTACAGAAGCTAGCTGATCAATATATTTATCTGCTCCTTGAGGGAACTGTGTCCCACCACCAGGGAACCTGAAGACATTTCCTTCATATTGGATCCAGTTTTGAATAGCCTTCTCCACTGTCAAAGCTTTGTAAGGAGCATTCGCGAATGGTACATAATCACGGCTCTTAGGCCATGGAAATGGAGTTACATATCCCTTTGGTGCTGGTACGAGACAACGCAATTTCTCTTCCTCGGGAGGACAATGCCTTTCTCTATAAACCATATTATCTCTTGGGAACATCATCGCACGCTTTTGATCTTGGCATGGAGTGTAATCGGTGTATTTAGCCTTGCATGGCTCAAACACTTTCGTATCGATACTAGAATCCCCAGTCTTAACCTCTCCACCATGATGAGTCTCGAAATTCAAGTTTGATAACACCGCACAATCCGCCCCACTTTTAGTAATCTCCATAGCAATGCTATCTCCCTTCCCAAACCCACTTCTCTGCCATGCCCCCAACAGATAAAAGAAACCACATAAACCAACTACGATAAATATAGATATAGAACTCCTCGTCCTACTGTCACCAGATGTTTTGTTTGCCATTTTCCGCCTGCAATTGTCCCCAATACTTTCAACTTCAATCAATCAAAATATTGAAAAACAGCATAAAGAACTAATATTCATAGAACAACCAACACCTCCCACATACCCAATACTGATCCTGGGTCGATTTCGATTTTCGATTCACTAAATGTTAATCTAATTAGCTGACGGTAAACAAACAAATCATCCACATTAATAAACCCCAAAATTATTACAAATTGAATACTAAAACAAATTGGATTTTCTAATCAGACAAAGAAAACAACAAAAACAATCAGTAAACTCAATTATTGCCAATTATGCTTCTAATTTTCTATTTATAACCAAATTAGTAACATTTAATGAACATATAGACAAATCAAAGCTGAACCCCACCAGATCGAGATCAAATCAAACCAAATCTAAGCTACAAATCAAAAACCCCATCTTGCAATACCCAATTAACAAACAACCCATTATAAAGAAATTAACAATGCAGCAAATTAACAACCCAATTCACAAACCTTATAATATGACAAAAATAAACAAAATTGAATAGAACTATACAATAAATATTATAAATTGAAATCAAAAACTTACCAAAAGCATCAAATAAGTGGGGAAGAGAGAGAAACAGCGGACTCAATCAAAAGAACAATTCGAATTGGCGACTTCTTCTTCCTCTGCTGCTACTCAAAAAACAGAGATCGACACAGAATTGCGATGAAATCGAAAATCGTGGAAAAGCCAGAAAAATTGGGGGAAATTAAATCAATAAAATCAATCAAAACGAAATCAAATCAAACAAATTTTTTTAAAAAATAAAACCCTAAATTTGTTTTTTTTTTTTTAATAAATTATTTCTTGAATTAATTATCCCCAAACTTTGTTTTCTGCCTACTACAGCTATAAGTAGAAAGACTAGGAGAGCTGAAGTGAGAATTCGAGTGGAGTACAATTATAGTGGCGTTCAACTGAAGAATGAAAGATTGATTTTTTATTTTTTTTTAAAAGCAAAGATTGATTTTTTAAGATGAAAATCAGATCTGATTTGTATGGGATGTGGGTCCCACGCGTTAATTACAGAGTGATGGAGGAGAGAGAAAGGCATCGGAGTTAACGGCGTGAAACAAGGGTTTGGTTTTTCTTAGGATGTTTTTGGGAGATTTTTGTCACTGTTAACTTAACACTCAGCTTGTCTTCCTATGTTAAATTGTTAATTACAGTACTCATTACTACTGCTGTCACTTCAATTCTATTTTACTCAATGAATGTACTCAATTTAGTATCTTATCTCATGTGCTATCCAAATCAATATGCTTGCCTTTGTAAATGAGAGTTTCAGCTCTAGTGTTGTTTTCAAGCCAGTGATTTCAAAATTATTTACAAGTCGGTGTCATAGTGCACTAGATTTATCTTTATTTTTGAAAATTCTATGCGTTCTTCTTAATGTACTTTTTCCATCTGAACAATCTAAAAATCTACTTATTATTTTTTTTCTTTTACTTGCAACAGTTTGACTTTTACACTATTTATATTTATGTGCTAGTTCAACTAACCTTGATTATATTTTTTAGAGCTAAACCAAAATATACATAGTCATTTGGAATCTTATAAGATCGCCTTTAGTTTTTACTTTTTAAACATCAAATGTTTATAATTCTATGTATTGGTAATTAAAGACATTAGCAATTGAAATACTGCATTGACAAACATGAAAATAGATTTGTTCTAAATACTATATAATAATTATATATATATATATAAAGGAGTAAGTATATTAATGCACGAATTTACCCTATTGGAGACTATGGAGGAAAGTAATGATAGAATTGAATGTTATATATGAAGTGATATGTAGTGGTTAAAGATTATTTAATTCTCGTGACAAGATTTGATTGCTGTGAGTTTGTTCATGTATGTGTAGAGAGGGCAATGAATTAGGAAATGCTTAGCAGCCAAAGTTATTATCTCTTCTTTAGGGAATTGCATGGGTAGGTGGTGGGGATTTCTCTCATTAGGCAGGAGAAAGTTTTCTTGGTGATCAAGGAGGAAGAGTGTTCTTTAATTGTGTATAAAATCTCATTTAGTGTAGATGCAAGAGGATAATGACGCCACATGATAAAAGAAAGAGGACTAGTGACCATTTTAGTACAAGGTTGATGGATGATTGTTAACGAGATTGTCAAGATCAAAACATGTTACAAATCACCTACTAATTACCCACTATGTAACATTGAGTTGATGATAATATATATAATGTCCATTTGTTTAAAAAGTGTATTTTACAAAAATTTATTTCTCATAGATAATTATTTTCTCAATATGGGTCAAGCTCACTTAACATGAATGTATGAAACATCACTGATCTGAAAAGCATTAGAAGGTTGATATGGTAGAGTCGTCAATTAAATTTGATTGAAAATTTCAACATGAAATTGTCAGGCTTATGACCCCTCGTCCTCTCATTAATTAAAATGGGATAAATATCAACCCAAAAATATTTTAATTCGTTTATTTTAATATTTAACTGAAAGCAAAATGTGAATTTAACATGTTTCATTTGACAATCCTAATTGTTCACTTGATTTAGTTCACTTTAATACACATAGTATAAATAGATCTAATTGCACACAACTCATGCTTCAAAATTTGTATAAGATTAGATAAATTATATGACAGGGATGCATTTTATTTCGTGGCATGAAGCAAGTGGATAAAATAAAAGGTAACCTTTGTATTGTTGAGTGTTTTAGGCTTCTTGTCAATAATTATTAACCCACGTTTTAAAAGAAATCTACATGTCATATGGAATCATTTATTGTTTCTCTTTTTATGTCATGTCATTATCTTTAGATTCAAAAAGTTGCAAATGTGATTTGTATAAGATTTGAATATGCAACCTCAAGACTTAACATTAAATGTCTTACCACTAAGCTACTTGTATGCCATCACATTTATTTTCATGTTTTCTATTGCAACAAATGATCAAAATGTAGTGAATGATAATTATAAATAAATAATTAAGAGTACGATTACATGACCAACTAACCTTTTTAGAGAGACTGTTTGAAAATTCTAACCTTTAATTCACATTAATTATATCATTTACACCTGGAATCTACATATAGTTGTTAATGATAATTCACACTAATTCCAGGTGTGTGATAGATATGTAGTTGTTAATTCCATGCAATAATCTGAGGTATCGCCTAGGCTCAAATAATGAAATACTAGTAGATTCTAAGAGCACATACAAGTTTAATTGAAATTATCCTAAGTCACTAAACGTCTTCCTTTTATCATGTGTGGTTTCTAATGTCAACATACATCAACCATATATCAACAAGAAGTGGTAAATTATACTTTTTTATTTCTTCCTCCGTTTTTAAAAATGCATCCCTTTTGATATTACAGATTCCTAAGCAATTTTGGAGTAGAGAGAGATAAAGAAAATAAATAAAAAGAGCCCATGTGATATGAGAGAGACTTATTAGTTAAATAAAGTGATGCATCTAATCTTATATAAAATCATCTTTAAAAAAAATTAAATAACCAATTCATTGATAAAAAGCTATACGACGTTTATAAATGAATTCTAAATTTAACAAATACATACAAACAAATCAAACAAAGGTTTCCTTTACTTTATTGTAGCCAGGATCGTTAAATTGATCTTGCACTATGGTAGTCAGTGGTACATCTATCGCATTCCTGGAATATACAACTAACCTTTTTAGAGAGACTATCTAACTAAGGGTGTAAATGAACCGAAGCCGATCAATAAACTACTCGGGTTTGAGCTTGGTTGAAGCTCGTTCATATTTGTTTATTTAATAAATGAGCCGAGCTTGAACAAATTTTGAAGCTCGTTTAATAAATGAGTCTGGACACGAACATAGGTATACTCGTTCAAATAAGTTCATGAACAACTCGTTTATTTATGTTCATGAACTACTCCTTTATTTATGTTCATGAGCTACTCGTTTGATATGATAAAATATGATATCTCACAGGCGCAAAGTGCTTTTACGTGAAAGCTATGATATAAATTGATTATTTTATAAATTATTAACTTATTCACAAGTGTTAATTTAAATCTAAATTTTATAATTAAGATTTAATTATTATGCGAGTTTTAAGATTTTCAAATGTCAAAAGTACAAATCTCATTTATTATAGAAGCTTGTTTATAAATAAGCTCGTTCATGAAAAGCACTCGTTTAATAAATGAGTCGTTCACAAACAGTTTGCGAACATTGTATTGTTCTAAATGAATTGAGGGGCCGTTTGGTTCGCACGGGGTAAACGGAATGGAATGAACAAAGGGAATGGAAAAGAATGGAATGAAAATACCTTATATTCTTTATATTGTTTGTTTTAAAAACAAGGGAAACAATCCCACCACCACCACACAACCACCAATTAATCACTTTCCACCTTTTCCAGCCACTATCCATCCACCAAACCACTCGCCAGAAAATCCCATTTCCAGATTAACAATCGAAATATTGTGAAAGACCAATGAACGCAAAGCAAAATTGGAAAAAATTGACCAAGTTGACTATCAACATGAAATCCTAGAAAATAGAAGAGAGAAAGAGACCGTCAGTTTCGAGACAAATACGGCATTGAATTTGATCAGAAGGACAAGCTTCAATGTCGATCGCGGTCGTAGGAAGAATGGGAGATGTCGGCGACATTTATGAGAGGAGTTGCATCGTCATCATCTGTGTTGCCCGCCATTGACGGGCTTCTTGAAGGTCGAAGCTTCTCTCTCTTTCTCTCTCCTCTGAAACTATGATTGTGTTCGTTTTCCGATGAGAGAGAATGGTGAGGGGATTGGCGGTGACATTTTGGTGAGGGGCGGCGATGTTCCGGCGAGAAGTGGGTGAGGGTGGCTGATGTGGGTACGGTGGTGGTTGGGGAAAGGGAATGGGAAAGGCTAGGGGGGGTGGGGAATGGGAGTAGAAGATTTTTGGGTAATCAAAAGGGAAAGGGAATGATAGAAATGGAAAAAAAAAAAACAACAACAAAGGGAATGATTCCTTTGCTTATTATTGCGAACCAAACGACCTTTGAGTTTAAACAGTTTTTTGAGCTCATTTGAAAGTCCGAGATCATGTTTGAACTTGCCTATAAAATCAAACCAGAACAAGGTAAAACTCGGCTCGGCTCATTTACACCATTTAAGTTACGATTCTTTACACTTCGTAGTATTTAGTAGGAAGTACTAGTTGCCTAGTTGGTATATTCTCTCCTTATCTTCCTTCCTTTTGCACTTCAAATCCAGAGTCATCTCTAGTTGATTCATCACTCATCAGCCATCCACTCTTCTTCTTCTATCTCAAATTCTCTCTTCTCCTCCACTTTCCACCATTAATGGCGTCAACCCCATTAACTTCTACTTTTTCCGGCAATTTTTCAACCAATCTAAACTCAAATTCTTCCATATTTCGACCAAAACTATGCACCCCCTTTTCAATTAACCGCCATTTTCACACCCTTTATACATACCCTCCTCAGAGCTTCTTACTTCCCAAATTCACTGCTAATGGAAGATCAAAGACTGGTACTTTATCACGTTTACTACCAGTTTCTTGCTCTTACAATTCCCAAAACGGCAATCCTAAACCAAAGGTATCCATACCCTAATTAAATGTTGATTATTAGTTTATCCCTCATTAATTACATGTTTCAATTGTTTAATTTTTGGATTGTGTATGAGAAAATTTGGAGGAATTTGGTGGGGTTGTTTCTGTTTCTGGGTTTGGGAATTGTTTGTTTAATTGGTGGGATATATTGATTGATAATTAAGTGTTCTTGAGTGTGCATGTAAGTATATAATCTTGGAACGATATCGAATATGATGGTTGTGGGATTGAAATCTTATTTGAGGTGCGTATGTGATTAGATAGTTTGGCATTGTATTGAAATTTTACTAATTGTTGTTGTTATGCAGGGAGGTGGATTGGACTGGCCAATTTTGAAGCGTTGGGATGTGCCTTGGCCATGGCAAACCGTTTCGCTTACCTCGCTTGCTTGTGGAATAAGGTTGATTTTCCCCATTTCTTCATGCCCTTTTAAATTTTGATGTATGAATTATTCTGTGGTTTGGGTGTTTACTTTTGGGAGTGGAGTGTGGTGGAGGAGAAACACACTTTTAGTAGGAATAGGAGGATGTCATGAGAAAGAGATAATTAGATGACAAAGGTATTAGTGGTTTTGGAAAGGAAGTTATTTGGTAGATCATTGAATCAAGGCACTAGGCTACTTTGCTATGACCCAACCGCATACGTTGATAGGTGAATGGTGATGATGTATCTATCTGGACTGGTGATGATGTATATGTGACCATGTGTTTAGATCAATATGTTATGGAGTTACTTGGTAGTCTCTTTTTGTTGAATGCTTTTTTTTTTCTTTTTTTTGTTGAGGAGGTGTAATGGAGTGTTGGAATCTATACCATTTCATTGCCATTCTTAATGCAAATTGCTTGGAGGGAGCACATTGAGTAAAGAAAAAACTACCACGGATATTAGAAACTGTGATTATGTGAAATATACTTGAAAGGTTCTTTATTACAAAATGTGGCCAAAATCTTGATACTCGTGTGGATAGATAATGTTTACAAGAAGAAGAAGAGAATAGAAAGACTGATAGTCATTTGTGACTCAGGAGTAAGGACGACGACAGTATTTAATTTTGGAGCAAAAATGGAATTTTCTGTATTGTTATTGACCTTTTTAAATAGAAAGAATAGAAGTTGAAAATACAATTGATAAAGCCTAGGCTGGGTTGTGATTGAAATGATTCTATCAGAAATCTGTTTAAAGCAGGTCTCCAAATTTTAATTTCATATATCCACATCATTTTATGTAAAATGTAAAATCTTATTGATTGAGAATTTGAGGTCAATTTTTTTGGTAAGAGTGGCAGTTAATCATGCTGCATATATGCTTGGCTATTTTTTTAAACTGTGACTAGAGTGGAATCAATATATTTTCTATGACAAAGCTGTCACATATGATATTTTGTGGTGTAAAGTTAGATTGTTTAGCTTCTTTGTGGGCTGAGGCTGTTGGGGCTTTTCAATATATTTTGCCGGGTAAACCAAAGATATTGGCTATTGTAGTTGGGGATTTTTCAGTTACTTGAGGACATCTTATCCTCTTTTTGTACTTTATTCTGTGTAGTTCTCCTAAATTGTTTTACTTATCAAATAATAATAAAAAAAAAGCACATATTCATCCGGTGGATCTTTCACCATGATAGAGGTTCGTTTACTACAATATCTTACGTGAATGTGTAACTGATGTGATTTTAGGCAGTTTTGTGGTAACAGGTTTGATAGAGGCGCAAGCATTGCCATATCTTGGATTTAACTTTGGGGATTTGACGTTAGATGAAAAGGCAGAACTATTGTTTGTGGATCAAGGGTAAGAATTTGAAAAAATAACATTGAATATAAATCATTTTTGTGACTTCGTATCATGTTTTCTGCTACCTATGTTATGTTGGATTTTTCTGTTTATCATAAAACCATGATTAGCTGTATAATTATTCTATTGAGCATTCAGCATATTGCTGCAGTTCTACAAATCTAGCAGGAAAATATGAACCAATAAACTTCAACGGAAGGTCTTCAGTTGCTGCTATAGTCATTACTTACTGAAAAGTCACATCACTAGCAAATAGTCATTACAATTTCAAGTTCTGGCCTAATAACGCAATTAAGGATATTTAATAATAATACTTTTGAATTAGAGTTTAAAGTAAGCTAAGTAATAGCTAAAAATAAATCAACTTGCCAGTGAATAGATCAAATGAATTCTGGGATCCAATCCGAATTTTTGGAAATCAATATCCAAATCTGTATCCGATATCCGCTTTTTCGGATTGGATATCCGATCCGAAATGAAAACTCGGACCGGATATCCAAAAGATCGGATTAGATGCGGATCGGATTCGATAGTTTTGCATAGGTACTAATGTGTAGGTCTTGGCAAGTGTAGATAGCAAATATTTGCATGGCTGCATTTATGAATTTAATGTCATACCTAATATTGTACGTCACACCATTTCAAATTCAAGTAGTTAGATCCTGTGAGGTCGAGACTTGAGACATTGTAATTTGGTGAGAAAAGAAGTTGAAAACCCTGTGGTTGAGAAAAAAAGCAGTTGGTGAACTTCCATTGATTATAGTTTTGGTTTCTCTTTGTGATCTCAGAATTCAATTGCACCAAATTTTTTTAACATATAGGACATTTCTTTATTGTGCAGCATAACTACAGCAGCTGTTTTAGGAGTCCTTTTCAGTCTTACCAAGTCCTTTCAGCCACTTCCCGATGACCTCTATCGATATGGTATTGTTTTTAATTTCTTTCTTTGGCATCTACAAGTTCTAGTCAGCTGTAGTGAATCTAACCATTAAGGTTATTCCTTGGATCTACAAAAGCTTCTTTAACGATTGAAATATTTAAATAAGAATTACTTTTTCTGGAAATTGTTTTCTCCAAATTTATGTTTTAGATTAAGACTCTGCTTCACTGATTTTTGAAATGATGCTATAATTTGGAATGAGATCATAATATTCTGATATCTGTGAGACTCAGAGTTTTGTGTGAATGAATGTCGTCAGATTTGAGAGAACCGTTCAATCTACGAAAAGGATGGCTGTTATGGGCTGGGATTGGGTTTGCTGGGGCTCTTGGAGCCATTGCATTGACAGGAGTAGCTCTGTCCTTCTTTAATGGTGAGAACCCACAAAGAGAGGTTAGAATTATATGCTATGTTATATATTGATGTAATTTCTGAATTTTTTCTCACCTGAACTACAAAATGAAGTGCTGCTTTATTTGTTCTTCATTCATCAAACTATGTTTGTCTCATTGAACTTCTCATGGTCTTTAAGATACTAATTATATCATTATTTCAAAGATTCGTAAGTCTGATCAAAATGTTAACTTGGACACATTGGAATAGAAATTATACTCGTATTTGCATACTAACTGAAATGCTTATAGCTATGTATGTATGTATTATTTTACCTTTGTTCTTATTATTTAATCTTTCTTATATGTTATATTCCTGCGTGGTTTTTTTTTTTTTTTTTTTTTTTTTTTTTTTTTTTTTTTTTTTTTTGCATTCAGGTTTATTCCATGTTATATGTGCTTCTAGATTTTGTTGACTGTATATGATGATTAGGTAAGCTAGAGGGGCATGCTTTCATGTTGCACAATAGTTCCTTCTGTTATAACCCCTGGAAGCTGGATGCTTCTCTTTATTATTTTGGAACTTCATTATGTTTCTCATGAGTTATTAGTTATTAGAACTCCAATCTTTGTAGGAATTCTTACCAACTTACGTTCTTTTTTCAGACTGATGCTCTGGTTCGCTTGTTGCCACTGATTGGATCATCAGAAGTTAGGTAGCTTTCAGAAAATGCACCTTAATCATATTTCTAAGTGTACTATGTGATGATGCTATCAAGATTCAGGAGTGCTGTACTTCTGGTCTTATAGGCACAAAATCTGTGTTTTAGAGTTTTGACTTTTGAACATCTTCTTTATTGCCTTTTTATCAACTTATTTTTTTTTTTTCCCAATTGTTTTCAGCACAGTCTGCTTGTTGGGAGTCACTGGCTTTCTTGCTCCACTACTTGAAGAAACTGTATTTAGAGGATTTTTTATGGTATCCATGACAAAATGGTATGCTGGACTAATTTCTCTAGACTTCCAGCTTCTTTTGTACTCGATGATTCTATTCTTTTTTTGGATATGTGTGGCTGGAATATTTCTTTTAGCACTTATGCTGCATAGTTGATATTTACGCTAAAATTGATAAAGTGAGGATGTAATGGTTCCTTGCCACCTTACAAAAATATACGAGTAACAATTGAGGAAGGTTTTTGCAATTATTTCTATCTTGTGTATATAGGAAACTGTTGAGCAATCATAATTTTTTTTTTAACTGGCTGCAGGATCCCAACTCCGGTAGCTGTGGTAATTAGTGCTGCTGTATTTGCACTTGCTCATTTGACTCCTGGTGAATTCCCCCAATTGTTTGTTCTTGGTATGTCCAATCTTATTCTCAATTTTTATATATGGTTACTCATGTCGCTGCACAAACTATAGTCATATATTGTGAGATCCATGGTTGTTGAATGTGATTTATGCTCTAAAGTAATTGATTCAGATGATGCCATATGATGGAAAGCTTAGAGAGAATGAAAGAAAGTTTAATTACATTGATGTGATTTTATGAGTTTATATAGTACATGAGTAAGCAATAAATTACGACTAAATACATTTGACTAAGTACATTAACTAAGAGTTGGATATAATTTGACTATCAACATAGTACATGAGTAAGCAATAAACTACGACTAAATACATTTGACTAGGTACATTAACTAAGAGTTAGGGATATAATTTGAGTATCAACATAGTACATGAGTAAGCAATAAACTACGACTAAATACATTTGACTAGGTACATTAACTAAGAGTTAGGGATATAATTTGACTATCAACCTTTTTATTTTTATTTTTTTTTATTTTTAATTTGACTATCAACCTAAAGTCCTAAATGAGTAACTTAAGGGATTACACAAACTATAAACAGTAACTAATGATGGTAAGTCATCATAATCCTTTACAATTTGTACCTGTACCTAGTATTATGGAGAAAAGGTTCCAGTGTATTAAATGGAAGATTGCAGTCCTTCAGTTTTTCTGAATTTTGAAGCAATAATTTTCAGTTCCTGCATTGCCTTAGATTGGTGTGCCACAGATGTTCTCAGTTCATATATATTCACATATATAGTGTTCTAGGTAATCAATAGGAAGTCCTTTGTGTTTATTGATGTTGCTTTTTGAAAAAACTAAAAATAAAAGCTGAAAAGCCAAATCTCGGGGTTAGACTACGGGGAAAAAATCAGTCATGACAAATGGCATAAACAAGTTTTTTAATGGCCTCCTTTGTGCTTTATTCATCTAGAACTTTAATTTTATCGAGATGCTGAATTTTACACAAGTGAGAAACATTCTTCACAAGTTTGCATAATTTTGCAGGTACTGCTTTGGGATTATCATATGCTCAAACTCGCAATTTGCTAACTCCCATCACAATTCATTCGCTCTGGAATTCTGGTGTTATCTTGCTCCTTACATTTCTTCAGGTACATTTTGCATGCCTTCTCTTGCTTTATGGTTCGTAGATGGGTTCAACTGAAAACCAAAAGGCTCATGTCTAATAAATTTCCCATTGCGGTGCTATTGATTTTAGTAGATCCTCAGAGACTCATAGGCAGCTTATATCTCTAGTGTAAAGATTTGTGCCTTGTCATTTTTTTTGCTTCACAGAATTTATGTCCTGTACAGTAGCATAGATCTGTAGTCATTTGTAGGGAAGATGTAGTATTCTTTGAAGTAGTATTTGTAGATGAAGACTATTCTCATTTTTTTTTTTTTGGTAAATGACTATTCTCATTTATTGCGTTCTGTATTTCTGTTGAATGGAACAACATTTGATAAACTCGTAAGTCATTAGTCAAATATGTAAATCACTTGGGCAATTATAATAAGGTAACACCTCTTTGTCTTGGATCTATAATATTTTCCATTCTCATGTCATAATTTTTTTATTTAATTCTTTGCAGCTCCAGGGCTATGATATCAAAGAACTTTTGCAGTCTCAGTAAGGAAATACAGTAGGGAAACAGGTGTGCAACACCGCCACTTTCACGCCAATCCAACCTCAATCTTGGTTGCCTGAATTTCTTAGGTTTTACCTTTCTTTGGTCCTTTGACTTTCGTACTTAGGTGAAGCGCATGTCTTATACTATATTTTCAAGCCAAGACCTGTAAATGGATAAGTATATACTGCTAATAAGTCAGGTGTACATGAAAATTTCATGTTGGTGGCCTAATAAGTCATATATTGCCCTAATTGTACAATATTATTGTTTTATGAGACGGTGTGTATGAACTTTGGTCAGAGTTGATATTTGATTTATTTGTTTCATCCATAACTAACCACAGTTTACTTGCTTATATGCTGCCATGCAGCCATGCTGGCTCTTCAGATCGAAATTTCCAACATGCGTATCGTTCTTTTTATTTTTTTATTTAAGGTAAGGAGAATGACCTTAACCGTACCTTCACGGTTTTTTTGGTCCGGTATTTGCGGATTAGACACTTTGAGAGTGAGGGGGAAGGATAAGGGATTCCCACCCTCAAAGTGTCTTAGTGTGGATTGAACCCCCAACCTTAAAGTTAAAAAGTACAATCCTTATCGCTAAACCAAGATTAGCTTGGTTATATAATTCATTCTTGTCATTTGCCAAATGTTATTTAAAACTACAATGTATTTATTTGGGTATTTGATAAATTTTACTGGGCCGAGCACAAGTGCACATAGTAGGATTGTATGTTGAAATTCCATATATTTGTGGGCCCAATAAATGTTGTGCAGATAAAAAGGAGAAAAAAAGAAGTGGATTTCAATAATATTCAATGTTTTTTTATTGCGATGGTGAAGGTGGAGTTTTACCACCATCTTTTTTTTTTTTTTTTTTTTTTTTTTTTTGGAAGGGAGTTTTACCACCATACTTAATTACTTATGCGTTGTACTACGTATAATGGATAGAAAGTTAGAAATCCTTTTCATACACCTGTATCTTACATCAAGTTAAACTTAGTTTAGTGGAAAAGATTTCAATTTCACTAGGGACACTTATAGGGTGGAGATTCCTTATCCTTCCCCCCCCTCACTTTTAAAGTGTCTAACCCGTAAATTCTAGACTATAAAAGCCGTGAAGGAGGTTTGATCAAGATCCTTCTCTTTACCTTTTTTTAAAAATCTCCTTTATCTTATGATATTCTAAAATATTAAGTGATAAAGTAGTTTATTATTAACACGTCTAAAACACAAACAAAATATGTACATTCATTGAATGGTTTGGTGATTCGTTGTTTGATTAGTATTTGAATATTTAAAGTATGTATTAATTTTGATGTCTTTAATAGTAAATCAAAGTTTGTGGTTAAAGTTACACATTAATAATATAAATGTCAAATCATTATACCTTAATTAAAAAAAAATTAAAAATAAAAACTCCCTCAGTTCTTCATTGTTCTACTCACTTTATTTTATTTATGATATGCACTCTTAGGCTCTTAACCATTTATCCCTTTAAAACCACAATAATTAGAGCAATTCCGATCCAATGGTTGTAGCTAGGGGCTGCTTGTAATTTTTAATAATCCCTAGCTACTGGCTTGATCATTGGAGCTGAAAAATGCAATTTGCTTGGGAAAAAACTTGTCAAAATAGAATAAATAAAATGAAATATCAAAAGAGCTAATTAAGGAATTGAGATTCATTTAGATAGTTATCTAATAGCTAGCCATTAGAACTCAAAGGAGCTAAAATGACAATTAGCTTAAAAATTTATGTGGCAGGGAAAGCTAATTTGACAATTAGCTTGCCATTAGAGATTTGGAGTTGCTCTTACACACACTTGATTAGCTTTTATTTTATTATTCACTTTTTTCCTACACTCACCCATCATTTAACATTATCATTCTTATGCCATGTTCTTTTGGACTTCTCTGCAAAACTTTTCAGTTCAGTGTAGCAAATCTCAGTCTAAAAGAACGAGACTTTACTTTATTCTACTTTCGTTTATCTTACACACGCTCACCCTTTTAACATAAGGAGTATCGTAAATTTGTAAATTTATACGAAGTATTAGGTGAGTTAAATATAAAAGAACATAGGGAGTAATTATCGACTGATTAATTATTACGACTAATGAAAATATAAAAAGAATGGAGTTACTCCTTTGACAAACCGAGTTTAATCAAAAAGGAAATGACTTGGACATATAATTTGGACATTAAATAATAAACATGAGACAATGGAATAACATTGAGATTAATAATAGAAATGCTTGGAATTCAAGAGTTTGACCCAATATTTAAACTCGGTCGCACGCTTGGGTTCATGTAACAGACAAAAAGGGTTGCAAACGAGGGGCATAGATTTTTGTCAAATATAAAAAAATTGAAGTTCCCAAGTTTGGGTCCGTTTGACTAAACCGGGTCTAATTTTCACATTTAATATGTTTGGTTTTTTGGTACTACACTTGGTGTATACCCATTGGATAATTGTTTATTACTTGGAAAATTCGCATTTACTAGAAATATTTATGAAATAAATGTGATTGTTGAGGAAATTGGAGTGCAAAAACACAAAATTTCAAACATTAACTATAATTGATCTAACCATGAAATTTCAAACTCATTGGTACGATTAATCGATAATGATGTGGGTTAAGTGAAATTGGTATAATCGATGTGAGGAATCCCATGCCATTTTATGGGTCATTTTCCAAAGCCCACCAAATTAAGTGTAAGTTGACTTATGCCCAAATCAATAATTTGTTTAACTTAATTAATTGGTTTCGTCAACCATTTTCAAGACCTTGGGTGTGAATCATTTTACCTTTAATTCATAAATTAGTTATTCTATGATTTTGGAACCTTCACCTAAGCTTATGAGTGAAGTGTACAAATGTAAATCCCAACATTTTGAATTGTAATAATCCATTACGATTTTACATAATAACAAAAATATTTAAGTGTTACTCTCCATGTCTCTTTTTGCTAGAGTAAGTATAAAAACTTTTAGCAGAAACTCGGTCTCGTAATAAAGCTATCTTGTTCTCTCTCTGTTCATATTTGTTTGTCGCGACCTATTTTTGAATCATTCATTTGAGGATAGAGGAATTTTAATGATGAGGAAACTTAATAAATATAATAATAGCAAATATAATTATGTGGGATCATCTTAGATATGTTTCAATGTGTAGATTCAAAATATGAGCTTTTTATAAACGAGAATGTTAATGATCAAATATGTGCATTGAAAACTATGCCAAAAAGCAAATGGGGCAAACAAAAAAGAATGGAGAGAGAATAATATGCTGCATATGACCGTACCTTTGTTGTATTTAGTTTATACAAAAGAAGAATTTATTCATATAGGATCTTGTTATTAATTTGAGTCTTCGCATCTAAACTTGTATTTTCAAAATATATTCATTAATTGTAAAAGTTATACACTGTCATGTTTGAAAAGGTAAAATGTATTAAAATTATCATAAAACTAAAACACATGCAGTAATAAATACAATACTCAGTCATGAATTTGTGGTGGTATATATATATTTGTGTGGTATTTGTATCGTATATAGATAATAACATCTTCATACGTTAGAGTAACTATCTCTTATATTTATATTTGAGGTTGAGGTGTTGGAATAGTGATATTTCTCCCCATAACTTTAATTTTTTGTGGTTTAGGTATTAAACTCATGATTCTTTTTTAAGGATTTTCTCTTCTCTTGCTCTTGAAGTGTTACCTTAATTATATTTTCTCTTGTATTTTCAAGATTCAGTCTCTTGTGGCTAGAGACTTTTGTTTATACAACCTAATTTTTCATTTTTGCAATTATATTAGTTTTAATCAAATGAATGCAAAGTCTTCCATTTTCCCAATTTTTTTGCGTTCTCTAATTAAAACATATTATAAAGAAAAAAAAAATATTTGTGTGAAATAGTGTCCAATCAATTATTATTCGAATAGCGCCTGCTCCGGTAGATATTTCTCTATTTCGAAATGTATCAAAACCTTGGGTAGTAAAAAAAAGGGGGATGCTGTATTTCCAGGATTGGATTTCATATTCGAATAAACCGCGTAATCGTAAAAAAGTAGGTTTTTTCGCTATAGGCCTAGCAAATGAAAAATTGGGATAGGATCCTATCCTATAAGATCGCCCCCCTTCAAAGCCGGACGTGAAAGTTTCCCCTCGCCCGACTCAAGTAGTTACAGTAAACAAATAAAGAAAGAAATTCTTATTATTATAGAAAAATAACAAAAACCTACAAAGTCAATCGATTTACAAGAAATTAGTGGAGAGCTGGGATACATTCTGGGTCCCTACCCTCCTAGCTATAGCGAACCCGATTTTGTTGAAGATGTGAGCAGTTGCACGAGCACCAATATCTTGTATCCTAGCGAACGCCTAAACCCGTTTCAGCAACGTAACAACATCCTTATCTAATTCCCCCAATAAAGAAAAGGAGAAAGGAAGTAAACCATAGCCATATTATTATTATTATTATTATTATTATTATTATTATTATTATTATTATTATTATTATTATTATTATTATTATTATTATTATTATTATTATTATCATCATCATCATCTCAAAAACAAAGTCATACAACGTACAATAAATTAGTGGGTATCCGAGATACAATATGGGCCCCCACTCCTCTAGCTATAGAAAAGCCTACCTAGTGAAGATATGGGCTGCAGCACGAGCCCCAATGTCTTGCGTCGTCGAGAACCTCTGAACCCGTTTCAGCAACATAACAGCATCCTTCTCAAATTCCCCAAGCGAAGAAAAGGAGAAGGGAATGAAACCATATCCAATCAGTTGACAACTAGCTTCATACTTCACCCGCTTTCGATGAGCCGCATCAGCTACAACCCGTCCAGGAACAAAGTTAGATAGCCCAGTCTGCGTCAAAGGAGAAGACCCTGTTACGTCCACACAAACATTACGACCACGATCCCAAGAATAAAGTAACACATCAGTAGGTCTGAGGGGCCCATTATTCTCTCCGGTCAACCCTATGTCCACCTCCTTTCTTGCTGAAATCCCAGATCTGTAGCAGATATCAACAAGGGTATCCCGAACAACATTATGCCGATGTTTAATACCCACAATACCAGCACACGACACCGCGTGATCACCAAAAATATCCCCAGTAAAAACCCGAGAACAAGCCGAGCACGGTGTTGAGATAGAGAACAATGGAACACCCATCCTGTAGCACAACACACATTGGTATGTCTTAGCGTTCATCGTCTGACCTAACCCAGAAATAGGGAC